CCTTCTTTACTCTTTATTTTCCCCTCTCTTTTCGCTCTTCTCTTCGGCTTTTTGTTTTATTTATGCATTTCATTTCTTCAGACCATCTTTCTACTTTTTCCTCATATTATGATTCTTTCTTAAATTGACGTATTATCTGATTCCTAACATGAATCTTCTAACAGATAACCTTTTTAGAAATGAACGAAGACACACAAGTTCAGCACACGCAAGTTCACTATATGAATATCGGAAATTACTGAGTAACTTCCACATCTGCAGTCTTTACGCCGCCGAATGCTTGACATGAGAAGGGACTATACTGCCCTGTGACGAAGATGAGGCAGCCTCTGGACATTTGATTTGCAGGGTAGAAATTGCTTCAACCTGAACAAAGCTCCAGTAGTGAGTGCAGGAATCAAAGATCAACATGTCAGAAACACGTAGGCTTTGTGTTCAAAACCTATAAATTGGTTTATACTGATCGGCATTAGCTCGTGTGGAGAGACACACAAGCCTCATAAGGAGATCACGGTGCAGGGAAATTATCTGTGTGTTTCAAATTTGCTGCCTCATGTTAGAAGTCAGATGTAGTCAGTGGAAGAAAGAATGAAGTAAAGGGGAAAGAAAGAAAGATAATGTGAAGGAATGGAACACAGACATAAAGGAATGAAGACATGAGGAAAGATAGAACGAAACTGACAAAGAAAAAAATGTAAAGAAAAAGATGGAAGTAAACATAGAAGAAGAAGAAGAAGATAAATACAGGCCGAAAAAGGAATGGATGGCAGAGCTAATGAAACAAATAAGAGAAAAGAAACAAAGAAATAAAAGGAGGACAAATGAAGTAATAAATATAGATTTATTGAATGAAAGAAGGAAACGCAGTAGTAAAGCGAGAAACAAAGGCAATGAGAAAGAAGTAAAAGAGCAAAAACGAAACAAAAGAAAGAAGGAAATAATGAAGGGTAGACATAAAGTAAGAAGGCCAGAAGGAATTAACAAAGGAAAGAAAAGGAAAGGATATAACAGAAGTAGGAAGAATCAAGAACTGCTGGGTAATTTAGTAGCGTCAGAATGGCAACTGGAATGATGACTGTGAGTCGCCGGCGAATTCGGTGATTCTGTGGTTGTTTCATCTAACAGACCCCGTGACCTGAGTTGGTTACTTTGATGCTCAGAAAAGCAACAACGCAACGAAAACTTTGTTAATGCCACTCTGAGAGCGTAACACTTGACTTTCTGAGAGAAGCCTCAAACCCAGAATGTCGCCAAACTTGAGAGTTAATGTCCTCATTCTCTAAATGTCTAAAGAGAATTTAACGTGCCACAAGGACAGGAGTACTACAAACTCGCTTCTCGGATTGTTTACCCATAATTGTTCTTATTATTCTTCTACTGCGGACTGGGGAAAACGTCCTCCCATTCTCAAGCATGTTTTCTTAAAATAAACTATATTGAAACAATGAAATTGAATATTAATTATATCAGACTTATGAATGTCCCTAGACTGGAGCGACGCAGTACTCAGCTGCACGGTTACCTAGGAATATTGTCTTTACGAATACATATGTATACATGTATATGTAATTCCACATTACGTTCCAGTAAAACACACGAACGAAAACAGAAGGCGAAAGGAGGAAGAAGTTAGGAATAAATCGGAAAGAGAAGCAAAAGAGAAGGAAAGATGAAGGAACAGTAAAGAGAGGGAGAATAAAGGAGGAAAGCGAGTGCATACATGGAGAGCGACAGAAAGAAAGAGAGACGGACAGAAGACAAGAAAAAGGGAAGTAGGGAAAGGGAAAATGGGATACGACTACAACGTATTTTCATGTCAAGTGAGAAGCGTTTCCGCAAATGCATCGAGGAACAAGCAACATGCAAAGTTAGTCTCTTGTGAGGGGCATGGTCTATAAGTGGACATGAATAAAAACGAGTAGGTTGTGTTCCTCCCCAGATTGCAGATTAGATTTGTTAATGTAAAAAGTGTAATAAATTATACAAAAATTTTGGAAGAAAATATGAAAAATAAACAGAGAGTATGAAAGACAGGCAGAGAGACTCGTAGGACTGGAGGAAGAAAGCAAGAAATTAATAAAGTAGGAGTGCCAGTGTATAAAGGAAAAAGGGAAGAAAATGGAGGGAAAGGAGGAATAATACTTGGAAAGTGGGAAAGGAAATAAATAACTCAAGAAAGAAAGAGGAGTAAAATGGGAAATTTTGAATTTGATTATTTAAGATGTGTTCGCGCTACGAAGGAAAATAGAGTGAGAACTATGCATAAACTGTGCGGGGAAATGGATGTGACAAGAAATCTAGAAAACAGAGCTCTGAAACGGTATGGTCATGCTGATGAAATTAAGGAGGAAAGATTTCCGAAAAATATGTTCCACTGGCCACAACAAGAAAGAAGAAAAATGAGACGTGCATATAAATGGAAAACGCATGTAAATTCTGTATCGGTGAGTATAAAAAGTACTATTTTCTTGTATATACCGCCTTGTAGCCCACTGAATCAAGTGATGTTTTGGAGGAACATATCACCTCCATCTTCAGGATTGAGTACACCGAACAATATACCAACATGAAAGCAGGTGGCAAGCCGAGGCAGCTTCCACCTTAACCATCTACTTTCACCCTGGTATATTGTCCTGCTTATTCGACCCTGAAAATGGAGGCTAAATTTTTCTCCGAAACCTCGGTTGACTTTAAACTGACAACACGGCTTTATATCCTACAACATAATAGTCTAAACATATGAACTACGTTGCGGAAGCAGGAGGTCTGGAAGCATGAATTTCTATAGAAACCGAAGACAGTGAAACCACGGAGGGGTAACGAGTAATGAGTCTGTTACTCAAAGATGCTGTCAGTGTAGACACTAAAAAGCGTAGATGTCAGAATGAGTAATGAATGTGGAGCAGTTGGTGGAGTGGGAATTGACAGGGGAAACCGAAGTACTTGGAGAAAACCTGCCACAGCTTCACTTTGTCCACCACAAATCCCGCATGACCTGACGTGGGATAGAACTCAGGGCGTCATGTAGGAGGCTGGTGACTAAATCCTTGTGCTGCACCGTGGCCTGGAGGAACAATGATAAGGAGAAAAAGAAAGAAAGTACGAAGAACGAAAAGGAAAGAAGTAATGTATGATGGGAAATTAGAAAGAAGAAGTAAAGAAATGATAGGAAAACAGTTACTTCAGTTACAGTTGAGTGTATATGCAGCCCAACTTGTTTCTCTGCAGTTTATCTGTATTAGAGCTGCTAGCAAAATCTGACTGGCATAAAGTTTTTCATTCTTTACGCTACGTTCCTCGTTTCGAAGAAATAAAAGAAGCTTATGAGAAAACTTGCTGCTTTTCCTCCTAACATTTCTAGGCAACGGCTCAGTAAAACCGTTCCTGCAGCAATGAATACACACACAACAATATAACAACTGCTGGACGCAATGTGTTCTGTGAGGTCCGTTTGGTATGACATACTCAATATGTAGTGAAAGGGAATTAGGCGGTTAGTTCTTCCCAGAACTTCTTGTCAAAACCGCAGTCTGATGTTTTTTGTAAGCGTAGTGAAATTTGTAGCAGCATCCTGCGATGGACCGGATCGATACGAATGTGACCGTCCCTTTCCCACCCCTGGGGTCGCGTCCTAGCAGCCACAGCCGCAGCAACAAACCTCCGTTCTGCCAGCGTGAGACTACCCGCATCACAGCGGTTCCCACTTTCCCGCTGTCTTCAGATCACTCACGTTCCTATCAAAATCCACCGGATTAATATTCCTAAAATTTTAGTCGTCGTAATACAACATATTATTTTAGAAAACATCGGCTAAAAAGAGACGATATGGAGTAACATACTTTTCTTTTATTTCCTTAGTCCCTTTAGATAATTGGTCGCCGGGATAGCGTAGTCAGTATATCACTGGCTACGGTCTAGATGAATGAGGAATCTGAGTTCGAATTCCGGTAGGCTCCAGAATTTTATCTTCCACAAGTCGTCCAGACCGACTCTGGGGTCCACACAGACTCATATTCAATGCGTACCGGGACTTCTTCCACTGCGGTAAAGCGGCCATGACATGAAGCTGACCACTCACCTCCAGCAAGTGTAGAGTACAGGAATATATGGATCTATCTACTCCTCCATACGCCTTCGTGATGTAGTGCTTAATTAATTAAGCACAGGAACAACTTTATCTTTTTATCCTCTAGATAAATGCGGAGGCAATAAGACTATCTGCTTCTTCTCTCCACGTTCTTTAAGATGAAATACACAATTCATCTCCTTATTGAATGACAAAATACATAGATTTGCAATTTTATTTGCAAATTTATTTGTTAATCTCGGAGATAAACTTAGTGGATGGACTGGCCAATGAACGGAGAAACACAACTTACGTCATTTTATGCACTTCGTGCAAAAACTAGATATAAATCAATAGACGTTGTTACTCTGTTACTTAATTCGATTGAAGAGCAATATCATTAGACGTGGAAAATTCTGTGACTGAAGGAATTTGCATAGTTTCTAATAAATCAGACGTACGAGTAGTATAAACTTGATGGGTGCTAATGTAATCTTACTCGTCCAAAGCTCAACTCATTACCTTGCACACTTCCTAAAAGCGTCGTAAGTGGCAACATTGTGTCGAACTTCTATGCCTCTTGGTTACTTTCAATAAAGGCCGCGCCATAGCTCAAGCGGTTAGTCGCTGGCTTCCCACCGCGATGGCCCAGGTTCGATCCCGGGTCTGGTCAAGTGGGATTTGTAGTGGACAAAGTGGAGCTGGGACCGGTTTTCTACGAGTACTTCGGTTTCCCCTGCCAATCTTCATTCCACCAAATTCTCCATCATCATAATCACCCGGAGCAGGTACAATAGGCCAACCAATGGCCGCCGTGCCGAGTGGACCCAGCTGGACTCCATCCCCCACTAAGCGAAATTAGTTTAATTACTTTCATTGTTCCACTTATCGGATGCAAAGTCTGTTTGGAAATGAAATTGGAAGGGATGCGTACCAAATTAAAATATAAAGAGCACATTATTAGAAATCGACTTTTCCTTCAATACAGTAGAATGCAAGTAGCGCTCATGAACGGTTGAACAAGAGACTGCAGCGCGTCCTCACATTAGGCAACGGCTGAAATCTGAAAAGAATCGAAAGGTTTTCCATTAATTTCCAATGTACCTTTTTGTGATTTTGCATAAATAATTCGCTCTCATGTTTGTCTACAAATACAAATATTTATTTGTATTTGTATTTGTATAGTACGTTATTGAAATCTAATAAAACTACTGGATATTACAAAATATAAGATATATGATATTATAAGCTTTAGCCATTCGTTGAATGAATCTTGTCTCAAAAGTTTTTATCTCTTGTATTTTATTAATTTATATTTATCATTAATTTCAATGTCGTTGATCCATTTCTCAGGAGTTCTTTACAAACTAAGAAATAACGCCATATGTGAGAGTCAAGTCTGTCTGTATGTGACCTAATATTAAGGCCTAAATCGATGACAGAATTTCTCAAAATTCTACATAGAAGACTTTCGCCAGAAAACGTAATTCATATTTTCGTCCCCAATGATACCTAATAAAGTGTGATATTGTAGAAGATCATAAAATGACTTCTCAATGTAGACCCATTCCGTAAACTCTTCCTAAGAATATTTTAAAATTTTTATGAGAGACTTCCACTAATTTGCATTCAATTTTTCAGATTGTAAGTATACTTAATAAACTCCGTTTGAAATCCTTTGAACTACTTTATGGAATAATGCGTTTATAAATTGTTTCTACAATCCGAAATGCTGCTCAATTCAGATTAAGCGTTTAGGCATTTTAAAATATCGTGTTCCCTTGTTAATTCTCTTTATACATATTTACCTTGCCTCTTAAAGTAAATCTTAATGGCTCTGTTTCTGTGTTTGGCATAAATCTTAATGGCTCTGATTCTGTGTATATGTTTGGCATAAATTCTCCATGTTTTGCTGATATAGACGAGAATTGTGGCATTTCCCAGTGTTGTAAACTTTTATCCTTGTGGAAGGTCAAAAATTCTATTAGTTCAGGAGCCCTTCACTTCAAAATATATCTTCAGAAACCTTAACCAAAATATATTTTTCCAAGAATTCCTTCTTATTTATTTATACTGTCACACAACTACGTACTTGTTGTGGACCACCCCCATGTAACCATGTTTTCATACGATGACGAAGCCTTTGGTTCGATTAAATCGAAGAGATCTCGAACAGCTGAGTAAATATCAAATTTCATTAAATATCCTGGAAATCTGTTATGGAGAAGAATTGTAAAGCTGGCTTGAATCAACTTGCGTTTATTTGTACAATTTCATTTCAATTTTAAATGCAAACCAGCTCACTCCATATTAGGTTTAATACTTTCTATAATATCATGTAGAACTTCAGTCAGTGTTCAGAATATCTTGTCCGAATTAATTACGTATCACTACTGGAAATATATGAGATTCTTAACGAAACGAGGTACTTTCCTACTTTCGTCCTTCATAATCTTCAATCTTTCTTTTCTCCCTTTCATTTCTTTATCTTGCCCCACTCCTATTCTCCGTTAAAACAGTAAATTAAGCTATATTTTCCTCCAAATAACTCAATTTATAAAATAGAGCTGCCGCACATGTAAATGAGTGAGAGCTAAGAAGCCACAAGAACGACGTAACATACACACATAGTCCGGTAATACACACACATAGCTATATAGCTATCTCCTATTTAAAATTTAAATTTCGCAATTTTTGTTTAAATATGAAAGTTAATAAGGGCCACTTTCATTGTTTGAGTGGTATTTTACTGATCTACACAGAAGACATACTATACAGACCTTTATGAAAAGAAGAATGCTTGCACAGGACTACAAGCAATTGGCTGTGGGATAGACCACAGCAGACACCGTGCTGTGCACGATTGTTGTCTCTTTGGCGCTTCAGAACTTGGTACAGTGTGACGTAGCGGACCGCAGCTCAAGGACCCACGAACTTTACACTGATGTCCTCGGGCTAAAAGGAGAACCAGAAAGTTCAAGAAGGCTAATAGCAAACCTCACTGCACACCCTACCTTGAGCCATCTCCGTCCAACTCCCATTTCCAAAATGTGTTTTTCAAGACCCGTTTAATTTAGCCCATAATTCTATTCTCGGATTTAGGCGACCATGGTGCGTCGTGGTTGAGTGGCTCTGCTCGGTTCTGCTCCGGAACTACATGGGGCTTTCTCTAATCTCAGTCTCCACAGAAGAATTCTGTGAAAATCCCCTATGATACGGTCACTTTTTACACACGTCTTCCATTTCACCCGTCTTAATATACTTCATTTCTCAACCACAAGAGTACCAGATAACCTTGAGTAAACTGCTGAGTCCTCTGTCATTTTGTATCGTAAATTTTCCATTTAATGAACCGTTCTTTTGCTCTAGTAACTTTCCTCAACCAGAATGAGATATCATGTTTCACAGGCATACAAAACCGAGAAATCATCACGAGAAAAATACTGCAAGCATAAATAATATTTATGAATTTTTATAACGTTCAATCAACTACTAGTAAAATTAAGAAGATTTTAAAATTGTATAAATATGGGCCGGCAATTAATAATCAAGTTCCGCAAAAATGAATTTCCTTTCTAGCATCCTTGCTCTTCCTTTTACTTGGGAAAAAAAACAAACTGTAGCGAAACTGAGAAAGAGGAGTAATATTATATAACTGCTGAGGTGTTCCATTTTAGAAAAATGTACAGTGTAATTCTCGATGAAATCTTCCCTTCTGAAAACATTGTGTTCACATGCAACAACTATTAGTTAATATTAATTCAGACTGATGAGAAATGAAAGCTATGTTCTGAATGAATATTAACAAATATTTCACTCTTATTACACGGACTAAACATTAATTAAATATTTATACTTTGTTTAATATATGCATAAAAATCATATTGTAATAGTGCACTACATAAGAAATAAATAACTCAGATTTCAAGGAAATCTATACTCAATCGAAATTTTGTTTTATTTTTTCTTATTTCGATCTTTCGCTAAAAGAGTTAAAATAGCATGTTGATCTTCATAAATGTTATCCTTATTATGGTTAAACCTTTATCGCAACTGGAATGTGTAGACAAATAGTAACCATTTCATTTATATTGAAACACGATTTACTAATTTGTATAACAAAATAATTCAATTTAAATTATTTTTTGTCAGGTACGGTTCAGAGAGTATTCACTCTCATAAGTTTTATCATATTTGGAGACATAAATGTTAATGTAACCAAAAAAAGAAATAAAAATAATCCCACATTAAATTTTAGGACTATAACTATTACTTAGTCGCTACTGACTATATTTAAGAATTCAAAAGGCAGATATACGTTAAATTGGAATTTAAACTATTTTCGTCCAAAGTTGTATCTCCAACATATCCCTGTAGTCACAAATGTTCAAAATGACCACTACATTGTGGCCAACGGCGTCGAAGAGTACGGCATTGCTGGTGGTGGAGTAGCGACGCAGATAAATTAATTCTCATGTTTCAGGTTCTGCAGTGTTCTTGATTTTGTGACGTGCACCGTGTTCTATAGAGTATTCCACAGGTAAATGTCTGAAGGTGTTAAGTCAGGAGATCGGGGTGGATATTCCACACTTCTTTTTCTTCTGCTTCTTCCGGGGAAATGAACGTCGGGAAATTATCTCACATCGGTGTGGTAGTAAGGTAATGCACCATCATGTAGCCAATACAGGTCCATCAGAAAAGAAAATGTTGATGCTAGGTACGATATTGTCCATAATCACTGTTACTTAGCAATTCCTGTGAGTGTCGTTTCAAGAAGAATCCTGGTATCCCCCCTTATGTACATACATCACCACATTGGTGTACATGGTAATAATTGCTCGTTCTCCCGTTAAAAAAAAAACAAAAGCTGTCCCTGTAACAGGCCATGGTGGTTCATAGCGTTGTGAGACGTCGAGGCTCCCTCAGTTTTTAGACAATCGGCTCACAGATGACGGAGAGGTGGTCAGCCTTACGCTCCGATCGCCCCTTGACCCAGGAAGATCACTAGTACTCATTTCTGATAGAGGCTGAGTCGACCCCAGAATCATAATTTGGCTTGAAGGATTAAGACAATTGAACAAACCAATGACCACATCGGGGAACGAAACCGTGACCATTCGGCTTGTAGCATAATGCCTCATCCAACTACGCTACCGCGTGCGTTCCCTCGAAATGCAGGTGAATCTTCGCTCAACTACACATTATCACCCCAGAAAACCGTACTCTTCACAGTTGCCGCTGTGAGACCGTCAGATCTCGCTGTGATGTCGGTATGTACTGGCTTCAGGCATGAATTATTGTCTGAAATCTTTCTAATTCTCCGGATGTGTCCAACTCGTTATAGTGATTTTATCTTGAATGTACTTTTTTCATGAGGATTTAGGAAATTTTTATGTGGCTCCATTCCTGTCGAGCTCCAAAGATAAAATTCACATTTCGAGAAAGAATCATATATACATCTAAGGACTGGTACTGGCACCTACCTAATTTACTGTTGTGAATTATGTAGGCTAAGCCTATGGCAGAAAGCCACCAAGCGATTGAAAATGTGGGTGTATGCTGAAGTGGGTTTTGTAAGTGGGTGAACCAGTTGGTGGACGAAGGAAAGAAAACTTCAGCAGGTGGATGCCATCTCGTTTTAAATCGAATAATCCATACATTTTAAGGCTTTCATGTCGGTGATTGTTCAGGCCACGGTCTTGTGGGTTATGGTACCTTGCAGTCCTACAATTATATACCATTATTTTGAAGGAACATAATGCCTTAATCTTTAGTTTCGTAACGGGTGCGTTGAGGTATCATGTGGACTGTAGGCCTGTAGGCTAACTGTAAACATGATGCCTTAATCATTAGTTTCGTAACGGGTGCGTTGAGGTATCGTGTGGACTGTAGGCCTGTAGGCTAACTGTAAACACGGCGGTCATGCAGGCACAGAGAAGAAGGATGTAAGATAGAACCCGAACGGGACCAATAGGAGTTTTGAACCCACGTTCTGTTTTCCGGAGCTGTGAGATAAGACGACCTTTTCCAGGACCAACACAGATGGAAAGTGGGAAGTATATTTACAAGGGTTCGGGAGGATGAAGCTGTCCCCATTCTTGGAGAAAATCTTCCGTATTTCCCTTATAGAGCCGATAAGAAGCTTCCACGGCTTGTTCAAGCAGAAGCTGTCCTCCCTGTTCGTGATGTTAGGGTGGAGCTCCGTGTCTACCCCTTCCCTTACTAGCCGCCGGGCACTGCGCCTACGTGTCTTGGCCAGGGTGCAGGTACTGGTGTGCGAGATCCGATGACCCAGGTCATTGCTGTGTCCCGCCACGGCTGACTTCTCTGATTGATGCAATCAGATGTGACAGAGCTCTTCATTAACCCTGGTCTCGTTGCTACGACAGGTTTTTCCAATAAACAGTTCCCCACATTCGCAGGGGATGTTGAATCAGGTGTCTTCCGTCCCAGGTCATTCTCAGTGACTACTTGCCTCATAACACATCAGATTCTCAATCCTACAATCTTTGGATCTGAAGATGGAGACACTGTGATCATTCGAAACCACTATTAAGATTGCAGTTTCACAATCAGGGCGATCACAAACTGAGTAGCTTAGAATATTTTGCCAGTTTATTTTCTGAATTCTGAGACCAGAGAGATACGTTGTTTTCTGTTTTTACACATTAATATGACGTATTCATTTGTCCATTAGTGCAGAACAAAGAAAACTTAAGATGTTGATAGCCTCTCCTTGAAGATATAGGCTATATACGTCTTTCCATAATAAATTTTGAATTAACAGTCTAGTATTCATTATATTAATATGAATGGAAAATCGCTGGTGTTGACCTCAGTTCTGTAAATTTTTAACTTAGCATTACGACGGTCTTACAAACTTCTGAAGTAATTCAAAGCACGGTAGCCAAGTTTTGATAAGTTGTATAACTTTCCACCGAAGAGGTCCATGTTGCAGGGGCCCGTTATATTCACGTGGAGACCAAGCGAAATATTGCGGAGAATTTAGAGGCCAGACAGTCTCACGAAGAAAAAAAAATGTTTACTTGGAAATGTCTAGTAACTATAAATATTGTAGGACTACATCGAGAGACCAAATGTTATAAACATGCCAAGAGACGTAAACATCGTGTTATTAAAACATACTTCGGACGCTATAACTTCAAGGAGTTAAGATAGTCATTAAACCGAACCTGGAAAGTCGTTTGACTTTCTCCTATACAAATTTAAATATTATTCTATTTACACCTAGGCTTCAAGTTTTCTTTTTTCGTTAATGTTTCCTTGGTAAAATCTGTTTTGCATCTTTCATCCATCACGTCCCGTCAGTTTCAAGTCCTTTGATTTTGTCGTCTTAGAGACAAAAAAAAAAAAATTCTAAATACGTTAATTAGGGAAGTTCTCAACTTCCATTTTCTACTAGATCATATTTACATATTAATTTATTTATTCATTCACTTATTTAATTATTATAAATACAATATTTTCTATACGTTATGAATAATAAAGTAGAATTTGATAAAGTGTTTGGCTACTGATAATATCCTAACATCGTAGAGGGGTTAATTTTTATCTGTGGCCATATTTCCCCCACCTCTCCCCTGGTCCGTGATTCAGGCCTGTAATTTGGATAGTAAAAGTTGTCTATGTGCTTAACTAATTAAGCACTATGCCATGAAGATGTATGGAGAAGTGGATGCATAGATCCACATTTTCTTGACCTCGGCACTAGTTGGAGGTGAGTGGTCAGCTCTGCCCCCGGGAAAGAATCCAAGTACCCATTGGATAGGAATTTTGGTGAATCCCAGAGTCGGTCGGAACAGCATGGAGAAATGATAATTGTTGTTTCTACCGGGACTCGAACATCGACCTCTCGGTCGTCCAGCTCGTAACCAGTCATTATACCGACTACACTATCCCTGCTCCCAAAATATAGTATTTCAATCAAATCTCGTTTGCCTTACCGGAATTCTACATTTTTATTCACTTGACTCTCAAGTGAATACCTTGATATTGCTTTCAAATAAGCAGCCACAACCTCCTTCCAAATCTTACCTGTTCACAGTTAATATTTTTATGATTTTCTGTGAAAAAAGTAGGTTCTTAGGAGTTTGAAGACTGTGAAAAATAGGAGTTTTCACATGGGCGGACTGAAATTGATTTTGTGGGTCAGCTCTTAACAGGTACCTCCGCTGTTAAATTTAATCAGAATCTTTTACATTGTGCGAGAAATGGATCATTTGGCCGCTCTGACTGACGTCATCTCTCTCATTTGTTTCAGAGAGTTCGTACAAAGAATCCGTATGTGTGTGTGTATATATATATATATGTGTGTGTGTGTGTATGTGTTTGTGTGTGTGTATACAAGAATTTATATTTATTGGCATTCAGAATAGCCATAAGACGACAAAGGCCTTGCTATTCTGTCGTTATGCATATTAGTTGTGTTCTGGTGGCAGAAGATAGTAGAGTCGCCAGTTGTTATGGATAAAACCAGATGATGGTAATATACGATTAGTGTTCTGTCGTTGTGTTATGTGTTGGTAGCAATAGATGGCTAAGTTGATTGTAAATATGGATAGCACTAACCTCTCAACAAACGTTTCATGTCCTGCCGTTATGTACAAACAAACAAACAAACTCCGTGGTTTTAGTCTACAAGCGAACTATACCGACCGAGCGACCGCCGCGTGTCCGCGAAGTTAATGCCAACTTTAGGGGATAGAGGGTGTCACATGGTCAGCGCAACGAATGCCCACGGCCGTTAATTTCGGTTTTCTAGACCGGCCGTTATGTACACGAACATTAATTGTAAGTTGGTAGCAGAAAATTGTAGAATTAACAATAGTTACGAATTGGAATATGGGGCACGCGATAGCGTACTTGATTGAGGCACTGTGCTACAAGACGGAAGTTTGCTGTTTCGATTCCCTATGAGGTCATTGTATTTTTAAATGGTCCCAGTCCTACCAGCCACATTATGACCTTAGGGTTGACTCAGCCTCTAACAGAAATGAGTACCAGGACTCTTCATGGGATTAATGGACGGCCGGCGCGTAGGGCTGACAACCTCACCGCCTTCTGTGAGCAGATTGTCTAGAGAATGAGGGATATTCGACGTTTCGGAAACCTATGGGCCTCCACGGCCTGTTACAAGGATAGCTTTAAGAATAGGAACAGAAGGTTGGTGCGATAGACAGAGCTCGAACGTACTTCATAGCGTTCAGTGTCTTAGCATGTTGTACTCCACAGACTTTGTACGCTTGGTTTTAAAGTGAATTACAATTTGCTTCATTGAAATTAGTTTTTAGAAGAAGAATGTGTATGGGAAAACATATTTTACTTGCACAGATATTGTTTACTGAGTGGATTTTACGTTAAAAATTTTCTGTTGAAATTATAGCTTGATTTATAGGTGTGCAATACATAATTCGAACAATTGTCTCTGTATAGCTTATTGATCTTGGAAGCGGTTTATTTTTAAATGTAGGCCAGTAATTACTTAATGTCAATAAAAGCTCATATGTCATTGAAACGTTTATTCCTGTTAATCAATTTTCATGAGATTAAATATTTAATTCGGTTTGAATGTATTAAATGTCACTAAATGAAACTTTCAATTGTGGATAAAACTGAAGCTATGCATATTTTGACACAAATGTAATAAAATATCAATAAAAATTTTACAAGTTAACTCAGTAAGTTCATGAATTATAAAATCATTTTCATGAGATCTGAGTTTCTCGCGGAAATGTCTATGAAGAGTGTTGTAATTTGGAAAGTCACACTGTGTGTGTCTGAATGTACTTAGAGGTACATCAGGCTCGATAACTATATGCGCCTGGATCACAGTCAGAGCGGACCAATCCGTATAAATCCAGTATAAAATTGCTAATAAAACAGACCCGTGTCAGATTGTAACAGAAATAAATGTTCCATTAACAAATCTCACTAAATCCGTTTGTATATGGGCCAGTAAATATCACGAGACAACAGCAAACAAATAAAATATCAACGTAAAGCTGAAATAAAAAGCCATTAATCGACGTTTCAGAAGAGACAAAATCTCCGTCTTCTGGGTCGAGTATCAGGAAGGAGAGTCTTTACTCTAAAGAGTTATATCTTATAGGATATAACGTCATATATTCCCCTGAAAGTCAGCCGACGTTTCGGAGGAATATGTCACCTCTATCTCCAGAGTCGAAAAATAATTCAAGCTACTTGCTATATGCTTCATACTGGTTTCTTGCTTCTATTACTCTTCGACCCTGATGATGGAGACAATGCTTTCCTGTGAAAAGCCGAATCATTTTCAACATAATACATGGCTTTATATCGCGAGAAAAAAGATAAATTTTCATGACCCCCACTGTGAATACCTCAAATTCTACAAAATCGTTACTCTGCTTGATTTGCGAAGTTTACTCTTCGACTCTGAAGAAGGAAGCAGTAAGTTTCTTTGAAACGTCGGTAAACTTCTGCCAGATTGCAAGATGTCGCATCTCATTAAATAGTAGTTCTGTAATAGTACCGTAACGAAAACGCTTTCTTAAATGGAAAGAAATGACAGAATTTGAGGTTCTTACAACGGTGATTATGAAGAGGTTTGTCTCCGGGGTTACAACGCGTATGGTCAGCTGAAAGTGAATCGGAGTTCCACAGAAATATGTCTTCCTATCTTGGGGACTGAATAAACCAAGCAAGAAACCAGCTTGAAACAGGTAGCAAGTCCATTACATCTACGAGTCTTCAAAAAGAAAATTCTGTGATCTCAGTCAGAAACAGTAACATTGTAAAATAAATGGAATTTCCCATTTTGTTATTTCGTATAACTTCTTGGAATTGCTGCATTTTCTCTGAAACGGTATTCTTCCAACTTCTCTTAAAGAGAATCTACAGTAGAACAAAAGACGTATAAATGGTAAGACTACTCCAATATAGAGCACATAAATTTACCAGTTGGCCTTTCTCTAATTTCCACATGGCATTGGCCTTGGTATTCACTTGTATTGGAGATATCTCGTCGAAAAATATGTCTCTGTACAGTAACAGGAGCCGGGATAGCGTAGCCGGTATGGCTACCCACCTGGACGACCGAGGGATCGGGTTTAGAGTCCTGTATAATCAAGAATTTTCTTTTCTCCACGTCGTCCAGACTGGCTCTGGGATTCGCCCAACCTCCTATCGAGTGGGTAATGGGGGCTCTTTCCCTGGGGGTAAAGCTGCCGAGGCATGAAACTCACCACTCGCCTCCAGCTAGTTCCGACATCAAGAAAATGTGGATGTATATATCCACTCCCCCATACGCCTTCATGGTGTAGTGCTAAATTTGTTAAGCATAGGGACAACTTTTTTCTTTACCTGTACGAATAACATTGTGTAATTATGTTCCTTGTAGTTCATTTATTACATATGTTGTCAAAGAATGCTTCAAATAACAGTGTATTGTCTTTCAGCAGTTACTGTACGAGGAAAAGCTTTGGGAAAGCTGTGAATATGCATCCCAGATGCAATTTATTTTACAACTTTTCTGTGGACCTCAAATAGTAAATTTTATCAAATTCCGCCTAGTAGTATCTGAAATTAAACGTAGGAACTAGTCCAGAAGGATAGGCTGAGAGGCAAAATTGTTATATTATGCTTCCGTATTATTACCTTTGTACGTACAGAAACAAAACGTCTCAAAATTGTCAACTGTGGGCTCAAATAATGGCCGCTGTACTTTTCTGGAGTAGGCCTTCTACAAGAATTGAAATCGTAGTCTTCTGTGTTATAACACAGTCTAATCTATTGGATACCAACGTTTTGGGGGGATATTCTGGCACTGCAGTCAGGGTCAGCACTGAAGACTGAGGCAGCAAGTTGCGCCTAGATGGTGGCATCCAACTCCAAGACTCCACGGAGTCCCAATCCAGAAAACACAATCAGAACACTAACCGCCATGAGGACCTGAAATAATACAGTAGTGTTTTAGTCTACAAAGCAGTCTAATATTAAAATATTGTGTACTTGAAAATAAAATATACCCTGCTATATTTTAGAGCATATATCATCATCATCATCATCATCATCATCATCAGTAATCTGTCAGACGACACGTCCAGAGTCTCTTCCAAAACAATTCCTCCACTTAATGCGATCTAGGGCTTTCTCCTTCAAATGACAGTATCCTCTTCTGTCCCCAAGGTCATCCAGCATCTTCTTACGTCTTCTTCCTCGTCTTCTTATCACTTCTATCCGCCCCTCTATCTTTCCTTCAATAACTTCTTTTAGAAGGCAGTTTCTGCGTAAAACATGACCAATCCAATTAGCCTTCCGTTTTCTTATTTCGTGTAGGATATTCCTCTGCTCACTGACTCTAATTAACACTTCTTCATTTCTCACATAATCGAAAGTATATATATATAAGGTATCCGCACCAAATTAAAGGAAGTGGATTAGGAAAAGTGCTGTCTTCTGGGATGTGACGCAGTATTGCCTAGTGGAAGAAAGCAGTTTGTTTCTTGCCCGTTGCTTCCTTAGCATAACTTAGACCCTGAAGATGGAGACAATATGTTCCCCCGAACATGGGTGAAATTCTACCGGACTACAGGCCGCCATGTCACGGAATGTATCAGTCTCTTTTGCTGTGAGAACCTCAAATCCAGCCAATCACATTTTTATAAGAAGAACCGATTTTACGGCTCGCCAGAAGCAAAAGCTGTACTCCTGGTACTAATCGGACAGGAGGCTGTGTAGGTTGTATAGCCTGTCTGAAGACGACCCTGCAGGGTATCGAACATCTGCTGTCCAGCCCGTAATCTGTTATAAATTTAGATTCCCCTTCTCCACTGTAACATATCCCCATTATACGGAATGGAAGTATCACATCATACAACGTCGTTAAAATACAAATTTTCGTAGGATAGAGGAATTATGTTATTATATGAAGTCGCTTCGTGAAGAAGACCGCTATCCGAGTTCAAAGTATAGGATTTTCCTTGTGTAATTAGAGTTAGGCGTATTGAGCCACTGAAGAATTTCAGAGAATCATAATGTTCACTAATGTGTTCACAAAATTCTACCACTGTACCAATTCAATCGAATCCGGAACTTCACACTCTATTCCGTAATTCCACTTCACTATTCTGTTGTAACCTTCTCCCAAGTCTTCAGTCTGGATTCTCCCCTTGAGGCTCTCCCACAAATATGTTTAGCTCGTTTCTCATTTACCTACAATGCGATGTATGCTCCGTCAGTTTTGTGCTCTTTATCATCCCAGTATAGACGCAGTTCTCTTGTTTTAGAAGTCTGTTTTAATTGCAATATTCCGTACATATGTTTATCTTCTTAGCGTTTGTCGATAACTCCCTTGGGGCAATATGGAATATAATCAGAATTTCCAATTAACAGCCTTATAGCCTGAAGACAGATGTTATTTCCTGCTCCAGTTGAAGGGAGTTAATAGACATGCGTCACGTGCAGTAATGTCTTTGTGTTGGTCTTGATTTGATGATATTCTGTTCTGAAATTGAATGAGGAACCTCAGTAAGGATCTCTTCACGAACTAAACATTAACCGCTAACCGCATTTTGTTATTAAATTTCTGTAGGAGACGTGCCTTTTTGGAAAACCTTGGTATTCTACTTCGTCCCTGAATTCGGGTTCGAACCTTGGAACACCTTTAATCGTATAAATTCCAGGTTACTCTTGAGGCATGCAGCGCGGATCCTCAGATATATGATCAAGCCTCTTCCTTGACAGCATAATAAAAGAAAACTAGTTAAAACATTCTTCTTTTCATGGGTTTTGACAAAGTGTTTACGAGACCAAACACAATGAGAACTTACTCTGGTGGAATAAATCGTTATTTGCGTAAAGAAGCGATATTTTAAACGTTTTTTAAAGGTAAATTTTTTCCTGTAATTAATTAGTTATGCACTACACCATAAAGGCGTATGGGAAGTGGATGTACAGATCAATATTTTCTTGACCTCGACACAGGCTAGAGGTGAATGGTCAGTTTCACGCTTCGGCCACTTTACCCCCGGAGAAAGAGCCCACGGTACCCATTGGATAGGAGGCTGGGTGGACCCCAGAGCCGATCTGAACGACGTGGAGAAAAGAAAATTCTTAACCCTGCCGGGACTCGAACTCCGGCCCCTCGATGTTAAACGTTCTTATTGTTTTAAATCCCTTTGTATGACATGCATAATAACTATTTCTTTTACACTGATCTCTCCTAGGCCTATTTATAATAGTATGATAATCGGAGCGTAAGGCTGACAACCTTACCGCCATCTATGAGCCGATTGTCTAGAAAATGTGGGAACCTCAACATCTCACATCCCTATGGGCCTCCACGGCCCGTTACGGGGATGCCTTTACTTCTACTTTCTTACTTTATGAGAAGATTATAAATTAACATTTATTTATATTTATTTCCTTATTTATTCAAATCTTAATTTCAACATTTATGTTTTATCAAGACGATGATGTGAATAGAAAGTGCTGATCTGCTTAGTTTCCCACGGATATTACGGAGTTTCAGTTGAAATTAATTTGAAATTTGCTTATGTTGATTTATTTAGGCTTTTGACAATTTAAACAGTAAATGAATTCCGGCTTGAAGCAGAGACGCAGTGTTATCCCAGAGCCAATGTTACAGAAACTGCAGTTACATTAAAACAACCAACAAGATTCGTGGACAGTACCACAATTTCAGTTCCACCAACAGCAATACCATATGTTAGCACACAAATTCCTTCACATCACAGATTTAAATATTTATACAAATAGCATCGTAGCGGATGTTTCAACACAGGCTTGGACTGGTTCTTGGCGAGACCATCTCCTCGTCACTCGCGATAGTAAAGACACGCGCTAAACACGCTCATGACTTGAGTCCATTTATAAAGCTGCTTAAAGAGTTAACAAACCTGTTCTGTGAAACGGGACCAATAATTTGATGTAAGTGGAACCCAAACTAAACATGAATTCATTATTAAATTTTACCAGCGTCCACAAGACCGACATAATCACACTGTTTGTTACTGATGCTAAGGGTATTCTGTATGAATCTTCACAATAAAGCAGTTATTACATCATTGTGGTAACCGTGACAACGGATCATTATTCAGTGAAACTTGTGGCCATTCAGCACTCCTGAATGTGCTTTTGTGTTATGGTTAAATGGTGAATATTTTAATGATTGGATGGACTTGATACAGAGACGTTCGTTTTTATTATTATCCCACCATGGGCGGGGCTGAGATGGTGGAAGTGGAAATCTATTGTATTCCTGTGTTGCTCACATAATAAAACTTACCGATTCATATGTTAATCTATAGTTGGCAATGGCCTGATATTCAGTGGCCATTTTGAAGATAAGCCGTAATTTTAACTTCATAAAATAGGCCTACATAGTATAGTCTAAGATTTACAGTTACATTCAGTTTTAAATTAACAGAAATGTAAGAATATTTACTAGCCATGTTATAACACAATATTTTATAGTGTAATTAAATTCGATGTAATAATATAAAATCTTTGAGAAGTTCTGAACAAAACTTACGAGGCCAAATTTTCTGCAGGTGATTGTTGAGACATGGTCGTTAAATACTTGCAAATCAGTCAGTACATATTTTTATCTCATGAGTGGTATATCTCCTTTAAGTCCCCCTCCAAAATTTTGCGTTTTCTTCTATTTTCTCCACATTTCCCCGATGATATGAGTTAACAATGAATCATTTAATCTTAGTCGTGTTAGGACATTGCAGGAAGCAGCGGGAGAAGCCGGACCTACTGGTCGATACTGCCACGCCCATCCCTCTCTCTCTCTCTCTTACCCGAAATATATTTATCTCTTCCGAAAAAGCATCGCGGCAATGCGGCGGACCTTCCCGTCACCCGAAAGCATATACATTTTTCACTTCAATTTTCTGCAAGCAAATAAAATTTATGTATTTGGAACGCGATCCTCAAGTTGCGACACAGTGTAACCTGGTACGAAACTATTCGCGGTAACAGCGCAGAAAGTAGCAATCTAAGTGTTCATCAGCCCTAAGGGCTTTATTCTGACGATAGTATATTGACATATGGGCCGTTTCTACGCAACGGATTATTAAAATATTCTGGCGGCAACGAATACACGGATAAAAATAGAATAATTGGCGTTTATATGCAACGGCAAAGTCAACACATCTCTATAAGAATACAGGGATTGCTGGGATACGATGTTCTGAATGTGTTTTCTATGTAGCCTGGGCCAAGCAACAATAGGAGCTGGGTTCCATGTGAATAGTTGCTAGGTTACGCAACGACTATTACAATGGAGGAATTATTTTCTGTATTGTCCGTGATACGGCTATATAATGAATTTCCAAAATATCCCGTGTGGAGGCGGAATCGGAAACCTCCACCATGACCTTGCGAGTCGTAGAAGGCAATGAAAAGGGAAGTTTCGCATCTGAGATAGTAAAATATGGTTGGGAGCCCCACGGGACTCGGACCCGAGCATGACTCCGCTGGCGAGGGCCAGCAGCAATTGTAAACGACAGATCCGTCCTCTCGACAAAGAGAGCGCCCCACATCAAGAAACCCACAGTTGACTAACAGTAATAAAAATCTGGCCGTAAGCTCCAGATGGGTGCTTTATTCCCAGACACACTGGCCGACTGACCGTCGGTCGCAACATAAGGCCGACGATAGAGTTGGCTGTGAGATATAGCCAAGGGAAGTTAGTCGCTGTAGAAGAATTGGAAGTCAGCCTGAGAAGACATATAGTGTGTCTTTACATGCGTTATAATTACAGTAATCTTGAGAGTGTTACAATTATGTGTAGTCATGACCAGATTATGTCCATTAAATCGACTCACCAATGCAAACCCCGTCTAGAGATCACTAAAAAAACGTGACAGTATATTAAAATAAGCGTCAGCTGAATTCCTGAACTTCGTTATCTTAGTATA